TTAATCGATGCAACTATTTGGGCTTTTAGGTCACGCACCGTCTTCGAATATGCCTTTTGTTGGATAGAGGTGCCAAAAAAAGTACCTTTTTTCGAAGAGAGACAAGGAACGCCACGCCAGCAAAGGACGCCTTCGTGCGTTTAAAAATTAAGCTCCAAATGGTGATTTCTATCCAAAGAGGCACTGAGAAAAAACTATGGCTTATAAACCTATTAGAGGTAAATATGGAACACCACTAATAGTAGTACCTCTACATATAATAATAGCACATATACCTTAGTTATGGTCTCTGTACCTTAATTAGGTACAGAGACCTTAGTATGGTTCACAGACCGAGAATCATTAGTTTATTTACGACTATTATAGGTGTTCCATATTTACCACTAATAGGTTTATAAACCATAGCTTTTTCTCAGTGAAGGTTGTTACCCCCATATCAATGCCCTCCCTTTTTGCAGGTCACCATTTATCCTGCACCTTTCTCCCCTCTCTTTTCTCTTTACCTCCTCGGTTTTTCTCTCACATGTTCCTACCAACTATTTTTTCTTTTTCTTTCCTATTTTCTTTTCGCTTTTATTCCTTCCTCTCTCATTTGTTCCTTCATTTTGGCGCCTTCGGCAACACGGTGCCTGGTTCTGTTGCTCTTATTGGTCCATCCTCGACACTATTTATCATTGCATCTAATCTGCCGTGCTAAGTTAAAACGCCGTATGAACCTTCACGCTTTGCCAAATTTCGTTTGATGAAACGCGAATTTCCGGTAAATTTATGAATATTTTCCTCCCAATTTTTCAGATAATTTAGTTCGTAATTTTACCGAAAGATTCTGAAAATTTAAAGGAAAACCATTCATAACTTTCCTAAAAAATAGACATTTTATCGAAGGAAATTTGGCAACTCTTGTATGTTCTTACGTCGTTTTTTCTTAGCACGGCAGTAATGGCGCATCTCAGCCGGGCACCCTCGTTCCGCGGCCTCCCTGTGGAGGCGCACCCTCGGCAGCGCACAGTAGTCAGGTATTTGGTGAGAGCGCGCGGAAATTCTTTACAAGCACACGATGACACGAAACGAAGAATTTGTCGAATACTTTTGCATTCGAATACTCAGTTTTGCCTGTATTTAGAAATGTTCGTAAGTTTGACAGATATTTGTTAAATGACCAGTGATGTGTAAATCATTGCCGGAAATTCTGCAGTTTTTTTCACTTTTTCAAAATACACATCTCGCGCTCTTCGACTCATTCACCGAACGTGGTATGCGGAGCGTTGACTTTACCTCACTATTGGTTTTCCTTCAGTTTTCAATGTAGGCAACCCGAGCTCCCACGTGGTCGAATAGTGGTATCATTCTCAGCTGTCATGATTGCTCTAGGAAGGGAGCAGGAATTATTCAGCAAACGTATTGCTTGGAGCGGTGACTCAACTTCGTATTTTTTTCTCGCGAGATATTTTGCTGCTTATCACTTTGCAGTCGCTCTCTCGGAAAATTTAAATTCCTAAATCGTTGCAATTGTGCATTGAGGGCTGTGCATGATTATGAAACAATCAACACGTAAATAAATAAATGCAAATCATAAATTTGAACACATCATGAAAACTGCTTCAAGTAAAAGTAATGTAATTTTTTTTTGTATTGAGGATAGCGACCGGGCCCTTAATTTTCCTCAGATTGGGCTTGAATCCTCCGTTCAAGTGGTAATTTTTACTGAGAATGAGTTTCACAGAGAGTCTAATGCGTTTGTTTATCACTCATCTTCTCTATTTCTTCATCTTTATACCTTTAGTGTAATTTGAATCGAAGGGCCTGCAGGCTCAGAGTCCCGGGTGGCGATTATAGACAAAGATGACAAAAATTATATGGAGGGATCCTACTGGTTGAAGCAGGCTGTTGCGACGGACAAAGTACGTAGGTGCTAGACTAACTAAATGCAACCCACAAGGGACCCTTTCGTCAGTCCATCATTTTCTCCCTTGATCTATTAGAACTCCATCATCAACCAATTGGATCGCTTCTTACTCCTTATGTCTTCTTTGTCTATCGCTTTGTCTATCGATTTCAACGATCAGGCCCTGGGCTATAGTCCACAGACAACATTCATTTCATCAAATCATTGTGGTGAAGGATCACTCGTCAATGGGTCAGTTGCGCTGATCACACAGTGACTACCGCGGTGGATGACGTTATGAACCGAATTATTCAAAGCGCGATATCTCCATTAAAATTGAACGTAGAAAGTTGGTGTTTGGATGAATCTTAATATTTTTAGCTGATCGACGCGGGAATCAAACATCAAAACCCGATTCTGCGACCTGCTCAACTGACCCATTTCTCTCAAAAAAAGTCCAGCCTGCTCATGCCGGGCTTTTCTATGGAAAATCAAACATGTTGCTTTGTCATGCAACTCGTCTCATAAACGAAACTTACACAGTCAGGTAAACCGTCGGAACCCATTCATGAGTCACCCTCCGAAGTTTCCTTCAATCCACCCCATACAGCATTTTTGAACGCCCGAAAAATTCGATGTAGCACATTTTGTGGTCTTCATAGCAAGAAGCAAATTTTATTTAGAGGTTCGGTACTGCTTTAGCGCCCGAACCTCCGTGCTGCCACTTTATTTGAGTTCGAAACTTCCGATTCGGTGACCAGTGAATCGCAACGTTGATGCGTGATTTTAGCACCGCCTCGCGAGGTGGTTCTGTAAAGGTTCGACCTATCGAAAACCAACGGATCCGATTGGCCGAATCTGGTAACAACGGTGCCCACTGGTGTCGGTGATTGATGAGACGAACCGGGACCGAACTTCCCGAAGAGGTTCGGAACTTTAAATAAAATTCGTTCAAGTTGTGAATTTTTTGTTCCCGGTGCATTGATTAATTTATTCAGAGGAACGGTGCGACAGTGTGAGGGTGAGCGGGGGCCCGTAAGCGGGGAAGAGGTGACACGGGGAGTGAATGAATAAATGATGTCACTTCGTTAATATAACACGCGTAAGTATTCAAAGTCGGCTAGAATCTCGTGCTCTATTTGAAGTCTCCTCATTTCATTTAAAGATCCTGTAAGGAGGAAGAGAGTATAAATAAAAAGCGGGCCGAGTAAGACTATAATAAACCTCGGGTTGGCCCCGCTGTTCGTCCTCCCTAATCTTCGGCGAGCGCCCGCAACGCGAACGTGAAGCTCGCCGGAGAATGGAAACGCAGCTCAGCCATCTGCTGCAAGTGACGTATGACACACGCTCTGACTTCTCCAAGAGCCAACATTCTTTTTCCCTCTCTTTTCTTTTCTTCCCGGCTTTCTTTTGACCTCTCCTCGATTCATCCGCAAATCCTGCCTCTTGAGCCTCTTCCAAAAACGCTCGTCAGGTATCTCTTCATCGGCCGATCGATGGCCCGTGAAGCCACACAACAAATATTTTCGGATTTTTCACGGATCTTTGGGGCCGTCCATAAATTATGTCACCCTAGTAGGGGGGAGGGAAAGGGGGGGGGGGTCTAGCGGTGGGTGACGGAACGAGAGGGAGGGGTCAAGGCAAAGATGACGGACCTAAGCCTTTCTGAATAAGCGAAAAGGCTGGAAATGCTTGCTCGAAGACTATATCTACTAATCATTATCGATTTTCTACGTTTTCCCCCATAATGTAGAGGGGGACTACAAGTCATGTTTAATACTCAATAAAAGAAATTAATTAATTTACCTAGTTCCTCCTGGGAGAAGGCAGAGGGCGTCCAATGAGAGGCCGGTGGGAGGGGATTGAAGCAGAAATGTTAAGGTGCTCACTGCCCCAAGGGTTTTGGTTCGACAGAGGGCAGTGGAGGTTAGGTGTCGTAGAGCGCAAGGGAGTGCTATAAAGCGACCTATCTGTATGTATAAGGGAAATTAATCATTTTCTGAACGCTGCAAACTACATCTACTGATTTTCATCAATTTTCTGCGTTTTTTCCTGAAAGGGGGGGGGGAGGGTAAGCAG